ACCTTGAAGGGTCCAGTTTCGAGAGCCTCCTAAACAGCGCCCTGCAAGGAGCTACGATTACTACGAACGTCTATGAAGACGCTCCAAATCCCGACCTCCACCTATTACGGCTCTGGGCTAAACGGCTGCAGGTGGTACAAAAGTACCGAAAGGGTCGCAAAACTCCGCAAGGCAGACACGCCATAACAAGAGCTACGGTAGAGGCCAAGGAATACGCCCAACAATTAGATACACGCCGATGGCTAGACTACAGCTCTTCGCTCTCCGACAAAACCTCGATTACAAAGCTATGGGCTACAAATCGGGCTCTGCTTGGAAAGAAGAAGGTAAAAGGAGCGACGCTCACGCTCGCTCTCAAGATGAATAAGACGGAAGAACAGCTCGCAGGAATGGCGGGGGATCTCTTTTTTCCACAGCCAGACGTGAACGGCTGCCCCTCTCTGTACGACGTAGAAATCTTGGCCCCGGACGACGGCATGGACCGACCGTTTACGAGGGGAGAACTCGAGTGGGCGCTACACAAAGGAAAATCCCGATCGTCGCCCGGGCCGGATAAAATCACAATGACCATGCTTAAGAACCTTCCAGAAAACACAAAAGAACAGCTCCTCGAATGGGTGAACCACATCTGGGTCACCCGAAAGCTCCCTGAGCAGTGGAAGCATTCACTTGTCGTTCCCATTCCAAAACCCGGAAAAGACAAGGGATCACTCAGTAACTACAGACCCATCTCGCTAACGTCGTGTACCTGTAAGGTCATGGAGCGGATGGTATTAGCACGAATTGACTGGCACCTAGAATCCTCTGGCACCTTCCATCCCTCCCAGACTGGTTTCCGATCCTGCCTCGGAACACAGGAAAGCCTCGCCCTCATCTCGGCAGAAGTCATAAGAAATATCGGACTCAACCGCGCGGCGATAAGAACAGTCGTGGCGGTTGACATCAAAGAAGCGTTCGACTCTGTACCCCACACCTCTATCATCAGCGAAGCCAGACAATTTGGCATAGTTGGAAGGCCGCTGAACTTCATCAAGAGCTTTCTAGAAGGAAGGACGTTTTCGGTCCGCTGCAGCACGCACGACAGTGAACCGAAGATGAACCGAGTTGGGGTCCCTCAGGGTTCCGTCCTCTCACCAACACTATTTAACCTCGCAATGGCAGCCCTGCCGCATGAGCTCGCCAAAATACCTGAACTCGGTTTTACCGTGTATGCGGATGACATCACAATGTGGACGAAAGGAGAAGACATTGCAAAGCAGCAAGACACACTTCAAGCAGGCCTCGACACAGTCGACGCTCACCTAGCCAGGGTAGGAATGCAAGCCTCTGCAGAAAAGACCCACTTCACCGTGGTGGCACCAAGAAAACACAGAAATGCCAAGATTGCAGAACGATTTAATCTCGTACTCGCGGGTAAAAGAATCAAACCCTCCCCTTCAGTCAGGATCCTAGGGATTACGATCGAAGAAACGGGCAAGGGAGACATCTGGTTGCAAGACACAATCAAGTACTGCAACTCCGCGCTCAACGCAATCAGGCGTATATGCAGCGCAAGAGGAGGCGCGACTGAAAACGTAGCCAAACGGATGGTCAAAGCCCTCGTAGTCTCGCGCGTAGTCTACGGAGCCCGCCACTACTGGATCAACAAGGGACAGTGGCAGAAACTAGAAACCTTAAACGATCAAGCAATGCGTGTAATTACCGGCCTTCCTAAGTTTACCCCCCTCGGCAAACTGCGGGAACAAGCCGGTATCAACAAACTCCATGACGTAGTGACGGCCCGCACGGTTGCCCACAGTGAGCGCCTCAAGCTTACTGGACCAGGCAGAGAGATTATGAAGCTTCTCCACAGACCCACGGAGAACCTTCCAGAACTACCCGAGCAACTTCCACCATGGGAAGACCTCGCGGAGATCACCTACAACAAGCCTAGTGCACGCAAGGGGGACACCAAGCAGCTAACACGTAAAGCCAAGGCGCACACTAAGATGGTAGAAGCATGGGATCCGAGTTGCATCATGGCTGCCTACTCGAATACCGCATCGCTAGACTGCCCCGTCAACCTGAAGACGGCAGCTGCAGCCATCCCTGCCCTACAAATCAGCGCTACCAAGCAGCTCCCCGAAGGCGCCTCGACCAAAGGAGGAGAACACACAGCAATCCGCCTCGCCCTCGAGACGGTCCTCGCACTCCCCGACCCGCTAACAACGAATCTCCGGATATTTACAGATTCGCAAGAGGCGGTGAAGGAATGTAGAATAAGGAACAGTCCAAGCCGGATAGTCCGCTCGATAAAAAAACTTGCTTCTCAACTAGCTTCAAGAGGCACCTCCACAAGAATTGCATGGGTTCCCGGTCACGCGGGCATACCCGGCAACGAACAGGTACATCGCCTGGCCCGCGCGTCGCTTATTCTTCCCCGCGGTTCAGACGACATATCTGCATCACAACATGACCACGGGTACGGCCACGCTCGCGATCGGGCACAGGCCAACTGGGAACCACAAGAATATGATCCAGGCGAGGTTCGGGCCAAGATCAGAGAAGACTATCTAGCAAAACTCGAAGAGAAGCTCCCCGAAAACCCAGATCCGCTCCCTTGCATGGGTTTTGGAAGACGGGCGAGAGTTCTCCTGACTCGAGTGAGGACGGACACCGCACTAACACCAGCGCGCATCGCATCTTGGAGCCAAGGAAAACGATCCGGAACTTGCTACAAGTGCAATATGGGCGTGAAGGCAGACATTTTTCACTTGGTGTAGGAGTGTCCAGAGTACAAAGACATAAGGGCAAGACATCGACCAACAGACATCGCATCTATGGAGGGGTGGACACATCCACCAGGCTCCGAGAGTGACAGACGAAGTCTTGAAAGGTCTCCTGGATTTTATCTATGAGGCCAAGCTGGACATATTCATTTAGATTTAGTTACCTTTCCTTAGTGCCAGCGTCCAGATCTTGATATCACCGGCGCACTCCCTCATACCCCCTTCCCTCTTTTCTTCCCTTTTTTTTCCCTTACTTTTCTTTTATGGCATTAAACGTTTTCTGACTGACTGACTGACGTGAACACAAAAAATATGCCTGGTGCGAAAAAGTAATTAGGTAATTTAATTACAATTACCGTCGCTGGCGCAATTCATTACATTACTAAATTACCTGCTACGAAAAGTAATAAATTACATTACTAATTACTGGAACAAGTAATTAAATTACTGTAATTTCATTACAGTAATTGCATTACTGCCAGCTCTGCAAAAAACCCAGTATAACTTTTCGCTAACCGGATTATGGAACCGAAAATCTATCTGGGTCCTATCCAGACTTGTACGTAACGTGTCACAGATAATGGATTACTTGTAATCGATTGCATTTTACTGTAATTTTGTAACTCTTCAATTACTTTCTTTAAGGAGTAACGATCATTGTAATTGAATTACTTTTCTTGCTGTAATCGGTTACAAATTACCTATTATTTTTTTCACAATTTATTTTATTTTTAATTAATGGGGGTTAGATGTGCTGGAGTCATGAGACCTCATGGATTTGTGGGTCACTTCATTATGCTTCGTTTCCCGCGTCAAAATTTTTTGGTACACCGGAGACGATGTTTTGGTATGAAAACTGACCTTATCCAGCCTCTTGTGAGTAATATATTTAAACCGTCTTTTTTTATTTATTTATTATTTCGCGAGAGGGATTGGGTGTGTTGGCGTCACTCACTCAGCTGTAAAAAAAAGATTAAGGATTTTTTTTTCGGAACATCTTTGCGCGAAACACCAAAACTACCGTAAAAAAAAAAAAAAAAAAAACTGAATGAAATGTAACGTGGTAAGCTAAATGAAAAGTAATCGATCACTTCAGAGTAATTTTTCGATTACTTTTTGAGGCTGTAATTATAATTGTAACCGGATACTTTTTACAGTAAAGTAATTGTAATTGTAATCAGTTACTTTTTTCAGTAATGTGTACAAGTCTGTTATTTGGACTCTATCTTGATTTTATGTTTTCAGAAATTATTCCTTTGTCTGCAATCTTGATTTCGGGTTTCCAGAAACAGATTTCCGCTTCCATGATCCGGATAGTGAAACGTCATACTCGATTTTTCGGTAGGGACTCCTAATCTAGATTAAGCCACGGGATTGATTGTGTGGGATTCTCAATCGAAGTGAACGAATGTTGTTAAAAAAATTAATTTAACTGTGGGATATGCAAATTACCGCGCACAGGCAATGATCAAGCAATTGCCAAACCCTGGGTCGTGTTGACTAACAATGAAACCCAGTTTACGGCGGTGTTGGTAACTCAGTTGACCACCGGGAGAAATGGAGAAAACCCGCGCACCGTTCTATATCGTCCGCATCCGTTGGCCATCACGCATCGAACTTCGCAGGACGACTCTGGACATCTGGTTTGTTGAGAGTAGCACGCTTGTCCAGGCAGAGATTCGTGTCCTCCACAAAACCGCCGCGTTATCCTCGCTTCCTCGAGGTGGGAACAAGCATCGGCTGCCATGCCGCCAAGCTCGCGCTGTCCCCAGTCGCCCCCGCCGCCCCCTCCCACCACGCCAAGACCGCTCCTGCGGGCGTTCCTGGCGCTGCCCCCATCGCGCCGCGAACGAGCTGCGAACTCTTTCCCGCGCGAACCGCACCCCTGGAAAAAGAGCGTCAAGGATGGGCACGAGAGGCGCAAGAGGAGAGCGCGCCGCGCGGAGCGAGCGAGCGTCGGTTTTGCGCACGCTCTCGAGCGCCGCGCGCCCGCGCACTCCCCGCGCCCGCAAGCTCGCGTGGTTGCGCCAGAGCGCGCCGGCGCAACCTCAGACCCCGCCCCCCGAGGGCCCCGCCCCCCTCCGTGAGGTTTGATTCGCGAGCGCGCATTGGTGCGCCGGGGGCCAATGAGCGCTGCGCGCGCAAGCCTGCTCAAGCGCGCTCCCGCCGCGCAGCGCCGTTCGGCGCGGCCAGTCTCGCGCGCGCGCCACTTGACCGGACGCGAGCCCGTGCGCCGCAAGCGTCCTCCCGACCGTCCGGCGCTGCGCCTCGCTGCTGCTTGCTCTCCGGTGAGTGCTGCCGTCCGCGCGCCATGCTTCTGCGCTGCTTCCCGACTGCGCCGAGCCTCTTTTTGTTTCGCTTTTGTCGCGTCGTTCCGTCCTTGTGTTGCCGTCTGTTGCAAGCTCGTGATCGCGTTCGTACGCGCTTCTTTTTTATTGTTATTGCTTTGGTTTTGTTTGCGGAAGCGTTCTAACGCGGTTCTCACTCGATATGATACCCGGTATGCATAGCGTCGATAGAAGAGAGAGAGAGAGAGAGCGCGCTTTTGCGCGAAATCGGTCTACGGGAATTCGGGTTCCCGGTATCAATGGGTGTCGTACGCCCTCGTGTCTCCACTGTATATAATTGTGGGTCGGAATACCCGGTACCGATGAGGCGATAGCCACGCCGTCAATTGATTTAGGGGCGTTTGGGATCCGGACTTTCGCAAGCGGCGCGCGCCTTTGTTGCTGGGTGCGACAGACTTTCATTGCCACGGTACGGGTGACGCTGACGGCGCAGCTGCGCTTGCAATTAGCGGTTGTGCAGGACCGGTTTGCGCGGTGGAGTGGGATCTTCCGTCATTCCACACTCTTGCAAAACACACGGTGAAACAATGTGGATGTAATCAGACACCTTCGTAAACGATCGTTCAAATAATATTAGCCAAGTTGAAAAAAAAATTCTATATATAGAACAAGTTTGGTAATACACAGAGTCGAGAAGCATCCGAAATCGGCGAGTTGAAGAGCACCCCATTCGAGTGTTCGGGGTACGGATGTACATATTTGGTGGGCTGGACGACGTAAATATGTCCCACTTCATTACCATTGCACGAATGGACGCCAATGTCCCAGCGACGCATCCCCCAAAGTCGGACATCTCTTGAGATTGAATCGAGCGCCTTTCCCAACCCCATGAGGCAACACTGGTGGTAGCCATTCTATCATAATAATTCTGTCGTAATGTCCGCGAAGAACTCCGTGTCCTTTGTATGATGTGTGAGCTGTGAACGCGTGATCTGCGGCTCATAGGTTGCCCAAGCTTGCTGGACCGTAAAATGGGAAAAGTTCATATTGGAAACTGATTATTCGTCTTACACGAAGAGCAAGGGTAAATCTCCGATTTTTCGGCGTGCGAACTTACAAAATCTGCGGCGCCAGATCAATATCTTTCCGGCCGACGCCGCGTTTAGCGCATCATCATCGCGTCCGGAATATATCGACATGGTGTGCGTGCAAAACACCTTCAATTCTAAAAGAAAAAAAAGAAAACAGCGCTGTTTTTTTTTGGTTGGGGGGGGGGGGGGGGGTTGTAGTGTGAAAAACCTCCAAACAAGAGCGCGTTACATTTTTGTCTTGTTTGAGAACGGAAGGCGGAAGTTTTGTATAGGTGCGCGAGCGCGCGTGTCTCCCCGTTTTCTGCATAGCTGCAGTAAGTTGGCCTGCTCCAGTGTTTTGTTAACCCAAACGTCGAAGCTGTCGAGCAATTTCTCAAGTTTCAATCGACATAGAGTTGAGTCTAAATAATTTCAGCTATGAGTGCGCCGAGGAACTGAGAGAGACGAGGAGACAAGAGCTAGGGGGACTTCAGAACGCCGAGCTCAGGCAATGGGAAACTGGCGGCCGGGGAGTTTTCCAACACATGGGGCTCTATGACACCAGAAACCGACAACGGGCAAAAATGGGCTCCATTTTCCCATTGAAATTTTCAGAAAATCACTGATAACTTTTCATTAAGTTATCGGATCGGGCTGAAACTTTGGCATCTGGTTGTGACCTCTAGCTGTACCTTTGAGCGGAGAATGAGCGTTCGGCGATGCCTAGCTTACTTTTACGGTAAAAAAGACCGTGTAAATTTTCTTTTGTGACACCCTTTATATATATATCTTTTTTTTTTCTTCGAACTCGATCTTTGATTTTCGGAAGAAAAGAGAGAGTTTTATAGTGGATCGCTCCGATGCCTCTGACCCGATAACGTACGATGCGCGCGCAAAGGCGTCGGCTGAGTATCGTTATCGGAGTAACCGGATCGATCTATAAGCTTTCAAATTTAGGGATGCCCAACATGCGGGCCGCATGCGGCCCATCCGCGTTTTTTAGCGGCCCGGCTCGACACAGAAATACACTTTAGCTTACGGAAGAAAATATAAAGAACCTTCCCTCGTAGATTTGCAGCATGCGATTTAATCCGTTTGAATTTGAGAAGGCAAACTGCGACCTCTTCCGCCATTCCTGTTTTGCGGCATCGGAAGGCTCCGGTATACGAAGGAGTGTTCGCCAGCGTTGAAGAGTATGCAACGCGAATCTCAGCTGCTTGAGTTCTAGAACTTTGACCAGAAGGAGTACCTGGGGGGGCTGCAGACCTTGAAACGGGCGTCGCTTTTTGGGATGTTTCGGGAGCAGGGCTTCTCAGTGACAATTCTCAACAAAAACTGCCTTCGATCTGCAATGACGGACACGACATTGCGAGATGTGCTAAAGACGGCAAGGCGTGCGATGACCCCTGATATCGAAAGCCTATCAAAATGTGCAACACGTCTTACTCGTGCTGCCCGCCAAGTCTTCAGTGAACGTAACTTTGACCCGCCAATTTTTTTAGTCGCGCACCAATTACGGGATTTTGTTTTGGCGTGTGCAATAGTAAAGAGCCTGAAAAAATATATATATGTATATACTTTTTTATAGCGTACGTCCTGATATCGCAGCACAAGTAATGCGACAGTCCTGACAATATAATTTTGTTTCGCATCATGACGTGCATCACGGCGAAACAGCGAAAGAGAAATACAGGTTTTCTATGGGCGATGTTTTGTCAGTTGCGTTTGGAGGTCAATCGTAGATTGTATCCGGTGGCACAGCTGGCTTCAGGCTCGTCAACGCATTATATAGCGAGGCGCGATTAATCTCGGGAAATAAATAAAATGCGCAAATGACTTAGTACGACACTCGGAGGCTTAGACATGAACCAACTAGCCCGCCAAAAGCTGTAACCCACAATTCATAGTTGAGTTCTTCACAAATTAAGACTGCCAGGTTCCTTCGAGCAACGATGGGATTTGATTGAGTTAGGATGGTTATTCGAGCGACTGTGTTACTTGTTATACGTAAGTTTCCGACATAGCCCACTTGGGTAATTATTAATGCGGTTGTCCCAGCGAAAGCGACGCTTGATCCTGCACCTGCAGCGGAGTACTTTCTAAAAAGATGAAGAATCCGTTCCCTGGGCATTGCACGAAGCCCTTGGAGTAGTGATCAGGCCGGCGGCACTGCAGCCAGCGCCATTTGAGACGCGGAAGTGCACCTGCACGGACGCTGAACTGGTTGTGTCACTCATTAAGTCACAAGGATCGGTTTTGACCTAGCGGCCATAATTGGCAGGGTTACGCTGCAGCTTGCTGGTTGAGTTGTCGAGCTTCTCGGGGCAAAATCAGCGGCGGAGTGCAGAAAAAACACTGCATTTATACTGCTTCGGAAATTCAGAAGCTCCATGCATAACAGCGTCGCTCAGATTCACAGAAATAAACGTTTCGGGTTCCATCCTGGGATATACAGTGGAGGAGTGCATAAATGACTTTTCTATTTGCCCACTTAGTTTATGCCACGCAGTCCAGATGGCGCGAGCTGCAACCAAGTTGAGAAATCAAAGTATTATTTTTTCGTTTACTTTTTAAACTTATACGTATTGTACGGCGGAAGGTATATAGGCATGAAAGCTAGGGCTGGAGATCTTCGAGAAGCGCCTGGCGTTCTCCCTCTGTCGGTGGAGAAAGATTCAGAGACTCTCTGAGGAGGCACACTCAGTCGAAAACTATTTCCGCAATTCCGAGAAGTCGCGTATAGAACGACTCCGCAGAAGCGAGCTGCGTAAGAGATGCGCGCTCAGTTCGATCGATCGAGCGGGAGAGAGCCGCGGCGGGGTTGTGGAACCGTTGAAACCCCGGTGAAGGCAGCTTCCCGACGCCCCCGCCGAGGCGGCGGCGGCCATCTTGACGGCGCGGCTCCAGCGTCTCAGCCAATCGACTCGCGTCATCGGGTGGGCGGAGCGGAAGAAGGTGAGAGGGAAAGGGGGAGGGGACAGAGCTAATTGGGCAACGCCCAGTCTTTTGTTTTCGGCGACGGTTGTGGCATGCTGCCACTTCCGGTGGAGGGGGCCTGGCCCGTTCGGGCGATCAAGTCGTCGGCCGCCGCGCCACGCTCCGTTGCCGGCACCACCTCGTGGCCACTCCGTGAGACACCCTCTGCCCGAGGGTCGGTTGCCCCTCTATGCAGCTTCGAGTTTGCTGTCCGCCGTGCGTATGCTTGCACTAAGGAATCGCGCTTCACGGACCTTGCTCGTACTAGAGTGGCACGCGTTCCTCTGATGTACGAACAAAAGCCCGATTCATTAGTGCAAAAAAAGGAGTAATGATTTTTATTGTAAGTTTTGTATTGACAAAGTGGTTACCATGCGCTGTAACTGCAATCGTTGTACGATCGTGGTGTTTATTCAGAAACTAGATTCTGACGGGGTTAAAGGCTTCCACAAAATGAGTCACAAGAGCGCGTTAAAAAGAGAGAAAGAGAAGGTAGACTGTATTTTGTATAATCACCAATAGGAGACCATTCCTTTAGGGCTGGAGATTCAAATAAAGCTGACAATCCCATAGGCGACGACTTCCTCTGAAGTCCATTGGGTCACCGTGAGAGTTCATTGCCTGCTTATTATCACTAAAGCGTATTATCTCTAAAGCGCATACAACGGAGCGTAAAATAAAATCCCCCCACGAGGATCCAGATCTCCTGCTGTGCCATTTTGAGCCTTCACGATGAACAAAATGTTTGTTTTCAGAAGTACGCGCCCTTCAGTATGTTTATACCGCACGGCCGCCCTAGTTTGGACACGCATTCGAGCATGCATTGAGTCGAGCAGTTCGACGAGCGGTGCGCCAGCACTCGGCGTAAACTCGGATCCAACCACGCGCTCCGTGCAGGAAGCAATGACCAAAATATGGCAGCCGTCAGTCTTGCGCGATAAACTTTAGAAAAAG